AAAGAAAAAAGATACAGGAAGGGTTTGCAGGATGGTTATTTGGTTCTTGGTGGGCTGCAAGTGTGGGGGGTTTATTCTTTAACTGCTGTAGGAGAAAAAAAAAAAAAAAAGAGGTGTAAGACTGCATACAGAAGAAGAAATTATGTTCTGCTGTGAAGTGGGCAAATCCACAAAAAACAAAGAACCAAATGACCTGGATCCCAAGATGTACAAGAAGGCAGTGGGACAATCTTAGTTACTTGCACTTCTGTAGCTGGGCAACTGCTTTCTCAGAAATTTTAGTACTAGAATTGAAGAGCACAAAGATGAGAACAACAGATTACACAAGAAAGGATAAGATAGTGGTAGAAATTAAAGACAGGCAACACTGGTGAAGTTATAACAGAGACACCGAGTAGGTGAGAAAAGGAAAGGCAAAAGTGAAGGACAAACACATTCAAGTAAATGGACTGTAAACCACCACCAGTAACTGCATCCCAAACAGAAGAACGGAGGAAAGAGCAAAGTAGGAAGGCACTATGGCAATACCAATGTGGAGGCCGAACCTAAAATCTTTTAAACCTCTGTAAGCCCATGCTTGTATATAGATACTTGTAAGGTCACTTCTTTCAATGCAGAAATACACTATATAAGACTTATGCCTGCAAAAATTTCTGTCATTTACTTGCTCAAGTAAAGTCCAGAAAATAAGTAAAAGTGTCAAAAAAGCCCATTAACCAAGTGAGAGGAAAGTGATTATTTAAAAGGGGAAAATATTGTTGTAAACTTTGCATTCTGAGAAGAAATAAATGTAATAAAAAGATTAGACTCTCTCAATGTCTCCCATTAAGCACATTCGTTAGATAATGAACAGGTCACTGAAGGAAGAAGGTTCATTATTCCTGCCATGTAAAGCAAGACTTGTCAAAATTTCAGAAAACATATTGCCTGGAAAAACCTTTGGTACTTTGCATGACCCAGCAAAGACACACTTACCATACAGGTAATGATATCACCCAAGTATAATCTGAATTACAGCAACCAAAAAGTCCTTCCCATAAGGGCCCCAGCTAAACCACAACCTGTGCAAAATAACCTGATGGTGCACAGAAGACTGACACATCCACTGCAGCCATCTAGTTATGAGAATCTTAAATCTTACGATAACGTGTAAAATCATAAATGTTTATTGGCACAATAAACAAGTGTTTAGCAAACAAATTTGCAAAGCAGCTTTGTAAAGGGCTACAAAGAGGTCAGGCTCGTCTCCATATTTATAATTTTGCTTGTTTCTAATTACTTCCTTAAAGTAGAAAACCACAGGAACCCTAGATGAACTTAAAGAGTTCCATCACAGGAATAAAAGCAGATGAAATTCTGTACATTATATTATGGGCAATAGTCTTAGATGAGTTAGGCAGCAAAACTGTGATTTCCACCTCTGAGGCCATAAATAAAATGAGTAAGAAACTAAGAAACAGAAAGCGGTAACAAAAAAAGAAAAACTAAGCTTCAAACAAGACAAAAGAAACGTTCGTCGGGATCAAGGAAACCAAAGTGGTGGCTGTAGAACCCAGAGCTGTAATCCACTCACATCAAAGCAGTAAAAATCAGACAGAAGATGAAAATACTAGAGTTCAAGAGGCCACAGAGAATAGTAGCATCGCAAGGGCAACACATTGTTTAATCACCGTGAAATTCCAGATGACAGCACTCAAGGATAGAGTGGGAGGGAGGCATCAGTGCCTGAAAAAGAAAAAGTGAAGAGCACAGACCAGAAAAAAAAAAAAAAAAAAAAAAGAGTCAGGCTCTCTTAGTAGCAACACGAAGTGAAAGCTTGAGTGAAAATGGAAAACTCAAACCAAGAGATTCCAGGGTTTGCTGAAACAAAATTGTAATGACCAAGTAACTGATTCTTAATAGTGCATTTTAATTATTATTATTATTCAATAAAGACTATTACAGCTTATAATTCTTATTATCCTGACAATTTCTACTACGACATCTGCCTTGATGTTTTAGCAAGGAAGACCAAGAAGTCTGCAAGAGTTACAAAACACTTCAACTCAAATACTTCTTCCAGAAAGGATAATAAACTATAGTCAGCAGATATGTCTGTTCAGTTAGCAATAAAGGACAGCTCTGCATACTGCTTAGAATAAGCTTTGTCCTTGGAACACAGATTCAGCCTCTTACGGGATATTACAGATAGTCTTCTTGGAGTAAAAACCTCACATTAAGAGCTTTGAAAGATTCAAATATAAAGAAAAGCACTGAGTTTATCATAGCAGCACTGAGTGCTGGATGAACTAATAAAAACAATACAGCTGTCTCAGACTTTAATTGACAGTCTAGCAAGAGCAGGCTCAAGTTTTCCAACCATTCCGGCCATGAAAACAGAAAATGTATGGTTTCCCTTACAGAAGAAAATAAAGTGTCTCTCTGAAAGCACAATTTAAAAATTTCTGAAGTGTGATGGAAGACAATTAGTACGACAAACTAATTTATCTCCAGCAATGACATAATATTTTCTCCAGTAGAAAATTGTGGCTACCTCCAAGGTCTCCAAGGTTCCTGGCTGCAGCTGAGTAACCGTTCAGTATAACATTCCAGCAGCTCAGAATACAGCAAGAGTAAAGTTAATGTGACATCTGAAAAAACAATGAAATAGCTAACTGGATCTCAAGAAAATCCACTAGAATGACCAAACCATTCTTAACTCACAGGGTGTTTGATCTTACCAAAGCTAACAAAACAATTACTTTACGCTATAGGTAACCAGCCACTGCATTCCCTCCAAATACACTTTCTTTTCTCAAAAAAAAGTGAACTTCCTGGTCTTTTGGAAAACAGGACTGTGACTATGCAGTTACACCCCTCTGAAGTAGCACACCAACAGTTTTCAGCACACTAGGATTCATATCAGGGTATTTCTGCAGTGGCAGCGGTTATGATTGATGACATGCAAAGATCTGATCTGTTGCAAAGAGGATGTAACACAAACCACAAAGGAACTACACACTTCAGCCTGTATTGGGCACCACATCATGAAGACCATACACTGGAGATCCTGAACACTTTCAGCCAATCTTTTTATTCTGGCAGATTTCACAACTTTCCTTTGCAGAAATATTCTGCCCTTGAAAGATAACATATCTAGCAACAGCCTATAACAAAGTTTCTACAAATCTCTGGTTGCACACCATGGCCATTTTCCCCTGCCATCATTATAGATCTAAACACAAAATTATTAAAGCTTTCTTGAATCTGCCCACATCACTATTTATTCCATATGCTGGGAGACTGAATAAGGCACAGCATTTTCAAACATGCAATCCTGAAATGCGGAGGATTAACTGCTATTATTAGATACCTCTAGAAAAGATACATTTGTTTATACCACTTTCAGTTGGTCATGTTGAAATATATAGCATGGTTAAATTGTGCGTTTTGTGAAGGTGGAAAAGAGCACCCAACTGGACATGACCCTGGGCAATCTGCTCTTGTTGACCCTGCCCTGAGCTGAGGGATTGGACTAGGCAGCCTCCAGAGGGGCTGTCCAGCCTCAGCTATCCTGTGAGTCTGAAAATAGGCTATCTAGAGGAGCAAGTACATAGTGTGAACGTAAGTGTTAAACATTTAAGACACCTACTTCTTTGTAGTATTGGAGGGGGGGAATTTGTGACTTTTGGCTTTTAGGACTGTGGTGCATTGACCCTGGCTGGATGCCAGTGCCCATAGAAGCTGCTCTGTTACTACCCTCCTCAGGTGGACAGGGGAGAGAAAATGTAATGACAGGCTTGTGAGTCGAGATAAGGACAGGGAGAGATCACTCGCCAATTACCGTCACAGGCAAAACAGACTCAACTTGGGGAAATTAGTTTAATTTATTACCAATCAAATCAGAGTAGGATAATGAGAAAACCAAATCTTAAAACACCTTCCCCCCACCCCTCCTTTCTTCCTGGGCTTAACTTTACTCCCAATTTTCTCTGCCTCTTCCCCTGCAGAGGCACAGGGGGATGGGAATGGGGGTTGTGGTCAGTTCGTCACATGTTGCCTCTGCCACTCCTTCCTCCTTGGGGGGGCAGGGCACACACCTCACACTCTTCCCAGGCTCCTACAGGAGACAGTCCTCCACGAACTTCTCCAACTGGAGTCTTTCCCATGGGCTCCAGTTCTTTACAAACTGCTTCAGTGTGGGTCCCTTCCTCAGGGTGCAGTCCTTCAGGAACAGACGTTTGGCTTCCCCACTGGGTCATAAGTCCTGCCAGCAAACCTGCTCCAGCCTGCATTCCTTTCTCCACAGGTCCTGCTGGGAGCCTGCTCCAGCACGGCCTTCCCACGGGGTCACAGCCTCCTTCGGACACCCACCTCCTCCCTGGGCTGCAGGTGGATCTGCTCCACCATTACCCTCCATGGCTGCAGGGGCACAGCTGTCCCACCATGGTCTGCACCAGTGGCTGCAAGGGAACCTCTGCTCCGGCACCTGGAGCCCTCCTCTCTGTCCTTCTGCACTAACCTTGGTGTCTGCAGAGTTGTTCCTCTCACATATTGTCACTCCTCCCTCCAGCTGCAGTTCCTCCTCCCCGCTCCCTCCTCTTCTTAAGTACATTATCACAGAGGTGCTACCACCATCGCTGATGGGCTCAGCCTTGGCCAGCGTTGAGTACATCTTGGAGCCAGCTGGCATTGGCTCTGTTGGACATTGGGAAAGCTTCCAGCAGCTTCTCACAGAAGCCACCCCTGTAGCCCTCCTCCTACAAAACCTTGCCGTAAAAACCCAATACAAGGACTCATGTTTTCGAATTTGTAACATCAAGGAAGGCTGTAAACTCATCTTAAAAATTGGATATTCTTACAGTTGCATGTTCTTAGAGCCGAAGCTTTAAGAAAAAACAACAAACACAGGTATCTCAAAACTCATAAAATTAGTTAGACACACTGGAAAACTTAACATGATATAGAACACCGTTACTGAAAGAAAGGCCAAGATGCAAGAGCAACAGTTTTTAACTTACATTTGAGCGTTTCTCCAGCATAAGGGATATGTAGCTTAAACCGATCACAGCTAGGTCCAGGGGTCAAGGACGTACAGCTAAAAATGAAGATAAGAGAAGAATGTACTAAGCAGTTACAGATAGTAGCAGACACTAACATTATTCTATGGCCAGAGATGAACAACTTTTTCATACCTTTTCAGTCATGTCACAAAACCTTTGCACAACAAAGACCAAATATCTCAGCTGCAAAAGGAGAAACAGCGACCCAGACTGTTTCACTGGCAGGAATGGTCCCTGGAGGTCTCACCACAGTGAGCTGGTGGGCATATGACAGGTCCCAGCAGCAAAAAGACTGGAAGCCCTTAGCAGTTCATTGCTTTCTACATCTAGGGATCCTGATAACCCAGGATTCTGTCTTACCACAGAAGAGGCATCAGGGCAAATGGGGCATTGTTAACTCTCAATAATGTACTCAAAATGCTTCAGAAATCCATTTCTCTCAGATGCTAGTTCTACAGTCTCTTTTCTCTTTACACTTGCAAGCTAAGGAAACCACGTGCACTAGCTTCAGATCGTTTTTATTCATCTACATTTACTATTTAATCAAATTTGTGTCCACACGTAGCTTCATCAAAGACAAGCAGGCACAGAACTACACATCAATTATCTTAAGTGAAGTTTCCACAAAAATACCAGAAAACATAAGCAAACCTCTTGAGCGCACCTAGAATCTCACACAAATACAATTAACAGCCTACAGTGATTCAACAAGAATACACTATATTTTTTCAGCATCATTACAGAAATTAGTTTGAGAATATGAAAGATTGGAACTCCAGTGCAACAGAAACAAGATAATATAATTTTTTCAAAGATGCAGGTTTTTTAGTAGGTAAGAACAGCAAAACAGGAGTGCTCACCATTAGGGTGTTTTAATGGCTGTGGATTAATTTAATAATACTCTCATACCTATAGCCGTTATCTACTTTCAAGTCATTTCTAAGGCTTACATCACATATAAGGCCAATTCTAGGAAGCATACAAAAAAGCAACACCAAAAAAAAAAAAGTCCTTTGCAAGTTCCAAAACATCTCTGCAACATCAATTAATATTTCATGGAAGTTTCTTTCAAAGAACCACAGGTCAAAGTCTGAGGCACATTTTTCAAATACCATCAAAATAACAGTGTTGTTAGCTTTTCAACAGACACAAAAATTTCTGACCTTCCAAATACCCTACAATCTTATCTTTTAGGACAATGGGCCATTTGGAAATACTTAGGGAAAGCATAATATTCTTTAACATTAAAATAAAAGCCTGATTTAATGGTAAATATCCCTAAAAGCAATACAAAGTATTTTTCCTAGATATTATACTCCACTAGAGATGTTTTTAATTTTATTGCTCTAGAAGTGATGCAAAGTGACAGTATTCACAGTTTTTTATTTTTTTCCCCAAATTACTCTGGCTAGACTGTGCAAGAGACTTCAACAACTGCAACAGCCTGAGCAACCAAGCAAAAAAATCTTACATACGTCCATTTGAAAAGAGGCAGCTACTTTTTAGTATAAACAGTAAAAGAACAAAACTCCTAAGGCAAATCAAAACTTTGGTACATCTAGCAGTCTATGTGTGACTTTATTTCAACAGATAGTCACAGACAATGGCCTGGCTACGGACATCATCTGCTTGAATTTCCTTAACACATAGAACTGCTCCTAATTACAAATGTGCCTGACCCAGAAGCTTGGCCTCTATCCTCTCCAAAATGTAAGATTTTACATTTGCTGACCCTTTCACTTAACATGGTCCACACAAAAGTCACGCTGAAAAAGAATGACTTGTAACAAGATCTTTTAGAGATTCTTTGTTGTCCTATCTTCAAAGGGAATTGACAGGTAGAACGGTAATATCTGGTATTGAAAATTAATTTCAGAAGCTGACTCCTTTTCATAATAAATAGATGTGCTATCTCCCTCTTCATTCATGGAAAAACATTACACTGGTTTGCATATCTTCATCTAAATAGTCAATATTTTACACAGGAAAGCCATGGAAGAATTAATGTTCTGATGCTGAGAACAGCGATAAGAATTAGTTTTCATAAGACAATTAATGCTATACCACAAGATGTCCCACAATGCT